TTTTGTAATCCAAAAATTTTACGGCAACAAATTTCTTCAACCCGGCATCCTCAGTTTTATATTTCTTTTCAAGCGCAATCCACAGTTCTTTTGGCGTCTCCATATTACTGTAGACGTTATACAGATCGTCCTCCAGTCCGCTAAGAATATAATTCTTGCACAAAAAATCAGAATGCCTCAGTCATGAGGAAGCGTTCATTTTCTGGAGTTTCGTCAGGCAGAACAGGAACATCTTCCTTAATGAACTTCTGTAGACTTAAAGTCGTCAAGTAGAAGAACATCTTCTGCTGCCACCACTTGAAATCAATCCCGAATTTTTTTTGAGCTTTTGTGTAGACAAGCCGGTGTTGTTCGGCTTGTCGATGCGTTGACAGTCACCATAGGAACACCATGGTTTCCGTTCTCAGTCGTCATTTCTGTAAAAGAATGACACAAACAAATGTTTAATATATGGTGAAGTTTTTATATCTTCAAATTGTATAAACTGGAGTAGAAAATCACGTAGATTTTAATCTCCAACATAGTAGAAAATCACTAGGATTTTAATCTCCAAATAACATATAATAAAACGAAACAAAATATACGTTAATATAATAAATGGAGTAGAAAATCACGAAGACTTTAATCTCCAAATTGGGAGTAGAAAACCACGCAGGTTTTAGTCTCCAGAATAGTATATACAATACAAATACAGAATATTTATTAAGTTCCTTAAGCTTGTTGGTAATCTGTATTTTCAAAGTAATTCTGGAAATAAATTAACGTAAAAACAGAAATATAGAAGAAATTGAATTTAATTCGAGTTCACTGAATTTACAGTGTTTCCTTAAGGAACTTAATCCCCTCCTAGTACCCGAGGTTGTGGATTATTCTCCCAGGATAGAACGGATTATACACTGGTGTAGCGGTACTTCAAACCCCAGTGTTTCAGCGAACACAATGTAGTTAAAACAATGCAGAAGAAAGAAGGAGATTTTAGAATTTTCGTAAGGAAAATCTAAAGGAATGGTCTGCTATTTATAGCCAACGGGTTGGTGTACGCAAAATAAAACGGGAAATAGATCAAAATAATATTACGTCAATCTTAATATTAACAAATAAATTTGGTCCAAGAATTTAATCAATAAAGCCGAGCGATGACGGCGTGAGGCTTGCCTTCTTCTTAACTCGTTAAGAGCTAGAGGAAGAGAAATTGTATATATACTCATCACAACTTTTTTTTCTCCTCTAATATGGGACAATGTCCCTTTGTCAAAGAGGAAAATTCAAATATTTTATTTTTCCCTTCATTTTCCATTCACTCTTTTACAGTATTGTCGTTTCCTTCTGACACTAGCAACTTATCAATTTATGTTGCCAAAAAAGAGTAAAAAGAAAAGTGCAGGTGTACCAGTTGAATTTCAATCTATCAATAAACGAGAAGTTTTATTGTGTGCCTCACAAAACTGAGATTAGTTGTGTGAGATTTCTTTTTGTCTCACAAATTTGTGGACCCAATCTTATACTTCTGGGTCCACAAAAATTTGGGTCCATAAAAAAATTGTGAGACAAAAAGGATACCTCATAGAACTAGTGTCAGTTGTACGAGATACAAAATAAAATTTTCCATCAATAAACATTACATCATTCTTTTTGATATTTAGAGGAATCATCATGCAAATAAGTTGCCACATAAAACTTCATTTGTTGTGGTGGGGAAGAAAAGAGGAATTTAACACTTGCTGTTGTAGGCTTAGACGCATAGAAGCTAGAGTGATGAACTCAGCAATTTTTGCTTAAATTTTATATTTACCGAAAAATTTATTAAATATGTATAAATATTTAATTACTATCCAATAACTAAAATAAGCTATGATTCGATGACAAAAATTCATAGACTTTAATTTCTGGCTCCGCCTATCGACGATGGACAACTGAGAATCCAAAGCTCTCGACTATGTAAAACAAGAAAATGTGAAAAACAAGATAATAATTAAAGATGTATAATGAATGGAGTAGCAGCATCTCTCCATAAATTTAACACATGGTGCTTTGATTTGCCATTTTTCAGAGTCTAAAACTGAAACAGTATAGTAAAAGCATTAGTCTTATTCCGACCGTTAGCTTCCAAATCTCCTTTTGGTCACAAATGCACTGTTCATACCTTATCTCAGTGATGACCACCATTCTTTCTACCACAGGCCTCTGCTGAAATCAGAAAATCCCTGCTATATTTTCTTGCAAAGAGCACAAAACCAAGAATTGTCATCATGCTATCTCCTTCCCCTTAAACCCCGTGCCCCCACACAACCCAACTTGTGGGTAGGTGGGCTGGATTTGTGGGGTGGGGGGAGGACGTATTAACTATTATGTCTACATGTGTGCATATGAATTGGTACGCCTCAATTTTATTTTACATGACACATCTTTTAAGTCCATTTCGTAAAGATTGACCATTTTAATTTATGTTGTCACGATATTTTATTCTATAAAAACAGACGGATAGTTAGTTTGGCCCGGCCTTTTTGGTGTCATAAGAAAGGGATCAACCTTTCTAATGTAAATTAGTCGTATTGGCATTATTGGTTCCTTTGTTTTCAGTCAGAGCAAGCCACACAATCTAACTCTACTTAACTAATTAGAAGGTACTATGTCGACATGTGTACATATAAATTGGTACTCAATTTTATTTTATATGACATTTCTTTTTAGTCCATTTCACAAAGATTGACCACTTAAATGTAAGTTGTGTCACGATATTTTTCTATAAAAGCACATGAATTAGCTCCTGTTTGGTCATAGATTTTGCCAAGTTTTTTCCAAAAAAAATTTGGCAAAACATGTTTGTTTATAGATTTTATCCACGTTTTAGCAAATTTTGAAAACAAAATTTTCAAATCCCAAAACTAGCTCTAGACCTGTTTTTGGCCCAAAATATTAATGTTGGAATTTTTACATTTCAAAAATTACCCCAAACTTTTATATTTTTTTAAAAAAGCCCACCATCTATTATGACCGAACTAGTCCACCAGCTAATTACTACTCCCTCCGCTCCAATTTATGTGAAACTGTTTGATTGGGCACGGAGTTTAAGAAAAAATAAAAACTTTTGGAATTTGTGGTCCTAAACAAGTCAAAAAGGTGCCCAGAGTAACTGTGTAGTTATAAAAGCTTATCATTAAGGATAGAATTGTAAGTTTAAGCTAAATTGTTATCAAATTTAGAAAGGGGTTATTCTTTTTTTAACGAACCAAAAAAGAAATAGGTTCACATTAACTGGAACAGAGGGAGTATAATTTTCTTTTGGACGGATGAATCTTGTAATATTATTGTAATTTGACGAATTATAGTGGCTAGTAATTGTGTTATTAGCAGTTGATATTAAAATATCAGATTATGATTTTAGGATAGTGTATTATGTAGTTCATTATAAAAATGATAATTCTGTACCAAACTTATCTATGTTCAGAACTATAGTTTGTGATAATGATAATGAATGGCATCGATGAGGGTTCTGCATATACAAGATTAGCAAGTTTGTTGTTTGGTATTGTTGGGTGTTTTTGATAGCTTTTAGAATTTATGAGTATAAGTCACATTTCATATTTTCAAAACAAAAAAGTGAAATATATTTTTAAAAATTATGTCCAAATAGATTTTCATCTTCAAACCATACTTCACTCAAATAAGATTTTTTAAAATAAATTTAGAAATCTATGCCCAATCGAGAGGATGATTGACCTTTCTAACACATATTAATCGTATTGACTATAGCCCCTAATTTGTTTTCGATGGACTAACCTTGTGCTTCTCCAATGATTGATAACTATTTAACAACTCTTTATTGTTAATATTTTAATTTTACATCTAATGACGTATTTCTAACAATAACATCAACATTTTATAGACACCATAAGAGGCTAAAAGTACCTCCGTAATGTTATTAAATTTTAGTATATGTTTAATTTTTTTTTTTTAAATTTCACGTTAAGTCAAACACCGTCCTGTCCTATATGAACTTACAACTTGTTTGGATTGTTTTTACATATCGTTTCATGATGTTTCGTATTGTATTGTATTGTATTATTATTTTGTTTGATGAATATAATATTTGGATAGATTGTATTGTTTGCCGTCGTTTCATGATGTCGCACACTAACAATGTGAAAAATATGATGCGAAGTAGAATTATTATATAAAAAAGTAGGATAAACAATAAAATATGATTATTTAATAATAGGGAATGGCAAGATGAAAGAAAAATCAAGGTAACGACGCCCCACACCAAATCTATCGTTCCATAGAGTGATACTTTCCGTTGCTACGTGAACGATATATTTAATGATACGATACAATAAATTTAAGCAAAAATCAAAATAAATATTATATTAAAGTAATAGTATGATACAAATACAATAGGTAACGAGAAGAATAACTATTGTTTCTTGTGTCTATTATTATAACCTTGTGAAATTCCCAATTGGCAAACCGGTCCACACCATCACCATCGAAGATTTGGGTATATGTGTTTTTCGTAATGTGTGCTTTATCTTCCCATGATTGAGGCTGTGCTCTTGGATTCTCTCTTATATTTTCTTCAACTTCTTTTATATCCCCCTCTGCCCCCTTTTCTTGGTTTTTTCCTCTCTGTATTCCTTGTGTGTGTGTGTGTACGTGTTTACAGTAGCTGTCTCTCTCAGTGCCATACCTCGGGACTTCCCTTTTCAGAACCAAGAAAAAAATACCCATAAAACTTTCCCCATTTTTATCCCCACTTTGGTCCTCTGTCCTCTGTTGCAGACAGAACAAGATATTAAAGAGAGAGAGAGAATAGTATACAGTGGGTTAAGAGATTTCCACGTGATAAGAGGCAATAAAAAGGCAAACTTGGCTACCTAAGTGTTACAATTTGCATGTAAAAGGAAAAAAGACAAGTGTAAGCTAAGCCCTTGGTTTCATCACAACAGAAAAAGTTAAACTAAAAACCCAAAAATACTCCATTCTTGTTGTGCTAATAATAAGCAAGAAGCTAAAGTTGTTTTCACCCCCTTTGTTCTTTTTATCGATGTGTAGCTTTTCTGTGCACCCACAGAACAACTCTTCTTACCACCTTCTTCACCACGTGTTAGTGCACCTCCTGTAACGCCTCTATTTACACCACTCTAAAACAATGATCATTTCCCTCTATTCTCCTCATTCCCTTCTTCAGTTTTCTTTCCTTCCTCTTAATTCCAAATTTTCCTTTGATGGGTTGTTCCCATTTCTTGAAAATCACAGCTTAACATGTTAAACTAAGCTAATTTTGTACTACATATTTTTGTCATCATTAAAATCTTGAGTTAATTTTAATGGCTTCAATTTTGAGGTTTCGTAAGTTGTGTTTAGTTGAGCCAGTGAGGTGTTCTTCTGTTAGTGTTCAATCATTTGAAAAACCCAAAAATGATGATAAAAAATCAATTCTTGAACCACCCCAAAAAGCAGAAAATCTTGTTTCTACTATTGAGAAAGTTTTAGAGAAACCAAAATCCAAGAAAATAAAAAAGCAGCCTAAAGAATGGAGGTGTATAGATAGCTGCTGTTGGTTAATTGGTTACTTATGTACAACTTGGTGGTTGCTTTTGTTTTTGTGCAATGTTTTGCCTGCAAATTTGCTTGGACTTAAAGTTCCTGAAGCTCCTGGAGTTAGACTTAAACGTGATGGATTAATTGCACTTCACCCTGTTGTTTTAGTACCTGGCATTGTAACTGGTGGACTTGAACTTTGGGAAGGTAGGCCTTGTTCTGAAGGCTTATTTAGAAAGAGACTTTGGGGTGGTAGTTTTACTGAAATATTCAAAAGGTTTGTGTTTTACACTTAGTTTTAATTTCCCTTAGTTTTGTTGTGACATTTAGATGGGAGCCTTGGCGTAACTGATAAAGTTGCCGCTATGTGATCACGAGTTCAAGCCGTGAAAACAGCCTCATGCAGAAATGCAAGGCAAGGTTGCGTACAATAGACCCTTGTGGTCCGGCCCTTTTTTGGAACCCGCGCATAGCCGGAGCTTAGTACACCGGCTGCCCTTTTGTTGTGGCATTTAACAAATTGCTGTGCATTTTAGGCCTTTATGTTGGTTGGAGCATCTATCGTTGGATAACGAAACGGGGCTTGATCCTCCGGGGATTCGAGTCCGAGCAGTACCAGGACTTGTAGCAGCTGATTATTTTGCACCTGGTTACTTTGTTTGGTCTGTTATTATTGAGAATTTGGCAAAAATTGGATATGAACAGAAGAATATGTATATGGCTGCTTATGACTGGAGGCTATCCTTCCAAAATACAGAGGTACCATATAATGATCTATCTTGCTCCAACTTATTAATTTTTCTCACATAAGATATAGTAACTATGTTGTCTTGAGAATAATTTGCATAGCATTAATTCCTTGCATTTATTAAGTATTTCAAATTATTATGGTCAAATATATGCATCTGAATAAATGCCAGTCTTATCATCAATAAATTCATTCATTTACCTATGTTGTATGTATTATGTAATGTCATTTCATTGTGTGATACACTTAAAAATATGCTCATTAGCAAAATGTGTAAGCATAAGCGAATTTGTCTCGAACGGTTGAGGATTCAATAAATAGTTTCTCCTGCATTTGTTTCTGCATTAGATCTTGTAAATTATATTAACAATGTGTATATATCACTAGAAAGCAAGCTGGATTTTGTTCCTTTTATTTTGTAATAGAATGCCAGCCGTGGAAGGGGAGCCTTGGAGCAACAATTAAGTTGTCTCCGTGTGACCTACAGGTCATGGGTTCGAGCCGTGAAAGCAGCCACTAATACTTGCAAGTGAACGAGATGCTTCATGCACCAGGCTGCCCTTTTTTTTTTTAATATATATTTTGTAATAGAACTGTAGTGTCACTGGCTTTTACTTTCTAGATTTGTCCAGAATTAGATTGAGGTTATTCTAATACATTTCTAATTGGATCAAGCAGATTAGAGACCAATCTCTGAGTAGGCTGAAGAGCAAAATCGAGCTTATGTATGTAACAAATGGATACAAGAAAGTGGTAGTAGTGCCACATTCAATGGGAGTTATCTATTTCCTCCACTTCCTTAAATGGGTTGAAGCACCCCCTCCAGTTGGAGGGGGTGGCGGATCGGGTTGGTGTGCCAAACACATCAAAGCTATCATGAATATCGGTCCAGCATTTCTTGGCGTTCCGAAGGCTGTTGCTAATATATTGTCTGCTGAGGGAAAAGATGTCGCCTTTATCAGGTCAGTGTTTTAATCTATCCATCACTATCCTTTCTTATGCTACGTTAATCCTCGTTAGTAGCGTCACCTCTAACTGTTTAGAATTGAGGAAGAAATCTGCTGTAATATGCAGAAAGGTGGTTTTGGATGGTCTACACATTTTGTATCATAAATGTAGGAAATTTAAATGACTGCAAATTAATTCTAACAGAATTGGAGTTCGGTGCATTTTACGGATGATGTAGCAAAGTCATCTTTCTAATTTTTTGCAGAGCCATGGCTCCTGGTTTGCTAGACTCGGAGACGTTTGGTTTCCAAACACTTCAACATATTATGAGGGTTTCTCGAACATGGGACTCCGTCGTTTCTTTGGTACCTAGAGGAGGAGAGACAATATGGGGTGACTTGAATTGGTCTCCAGAAGTAGAAAACATATGTCATAAATCAAAGGCGCGACACCTGCAATCTTCTTCAAAGGAAAGCAATGGCAATGACACCGATTCTAGGAGGAGTTTCCAGGTGAAGGAGCTGCCGAAATATGGGCGAATGGTTTCATTTGGCAAGGAAGCATTAGAATTACCTTCTTCACAGCTCTCTATTATTGATTCAAAGGTAAGAACTACTCTCCAGTCCGCTTCTTTTTTTAGATATTTGCATTAAGACAATTGATGTGTTGTCCATAATTGTATAAAATCATTAGGAATTTGTGCGTAAGAGTACATCCAGAAATTCCAATACATGTGGAGAAGTATTGACAGAGTATGACGAGATGAGTCGCAAAAGCATCAAGAAAGTTGCTGAGAATCAAGCATATACTGCAACAACTTTGTTAGATCTTCTTCGATTTGTGGCACCGAAAATGATGAAGCGTGCCGAGGCTCACCTCTCTCATGGAATAGCAGAAGATCTTGATGATCCAAAGTATACTCATCACAAGTACTGGTCAAATCCACTTGAAACAAAGTAAGTATGATTAAGCTGTAGTTCTCATCGCCAGATCATTAACTCTTGCCATTATCTTTACACATCTGATTTGTAAAATTAATAGTAAGCGTTATGCCTTTAAAGCAATTCCAGAGTTACATAATGAAGTCAGTCTATGCAAAGAACGGAAACCATAAACTTCATACACAACAGAGGGATATGATAGAGATTTTTTTTAAAAAAAAAAAATAATGAATGGAGTTCCTTCTTCCATCCTATCCCATTCACCGGCACTGATCATTGACTGTAAAAGTCATTTTCTTGCTTTTGTGCCAGCTCATGATCTAAACGAGTCTCGCACATACACCCTAGTACATGTTCCTTGACGCTGAGGGCACCCTCGTAGAGCTGGGGATTTCCCGACATTTCTGATTGGCTGTCTTGTATTTCTAATAAGTTGTTTAATAGTTGGCATGTTCAATCATATACATAATATGATGGGTTGGTTTAGATTGTGCTGCTGTCTTTATGTTCTTTGATATTTCATTAGTTAGTTAATAGTCAGTATCTTTTTTCAGGTTGCCTGATGCTCCAGATATGGAGATATACTGTTCATATGGAGTGGGAATTCCCACTGAGAGATCATATGTCTACAAGCTGTCATCTTCCAATAAATGCAAGAGCATTCCTCTTCAAATCGATAGCTCTGCAGACGATAGTGGCAACGGCTGCTTGAAGGGCGGAGTACATTTTGTTGATGGTGACGAGAGTGTACCAGTTGTGAGCGCTGGCTTCATGTGCGCGAAAGGGTGGAGAGGCAAGACGCGTTTCAACCCGTCGGGCATCTCAACATACATAAGAGAATACCAGCACAAGGCACCGGCAAGTCTGCTAGAAGGGAGAGGCACGGAGAGTGGCGCTCATGTTGACATTATGGGAAATGTTGCCTTAATCGAGGATGTTCTTCGGGTTGCTGCTGGTGCCACTGGTGCAGAGTTGGGTGGCGATAGAATCTATTCGGAGATCATGAAAATGTCAGAGAGGACAAATATTCGGCTTTAACTGCAACAATGCGATTTTGATATAGGATTGAGATGAGAGTAGAGCACCAAAAACGACTACTAAACTGCGGGACACTGACTCAGAAAATGACTGGAGAGATATTTGACAAGAATGACTAGAGAAAAGACTTAAGGAGGAATAAGGACAAACTAAATATGGGATGAGCAAAATGGGGCTAGCTAGATGGGGGACCTTTTGCATTGATTGTAAGTTTCTAACTGAAAAAGGAAAAAGAGAGTAGCATTTCTCACTTTTGTAATCTACAAGAATAAACTATCACCTTGTGTAATCAAGTTGAATAAGATTCTTGCCTGTTCCTTTGAAGGAATTTCTTTAGCTCTGAGGTGTTTAATTAATTCTGCTTATTTTAAAAAATTAGGAGGAAGAATAATAGTAATTAGCTGTTAGTATGAATGCTTATGACGTTGATTGAAGAGCTGCTGCATGTGAAGTGGAAGAATTTAGAGGTATAAGAGATCTCACTTGCTGAATTCCAGCTCAGAAGATTGAGAATTATTACAAGTTAGAAAGACTAAAAACTTTCTAGATTTTGTTTACAGAAATCAATGTGTTAAACAAGCTCAGCTCGACAGCTCAAATAGTAATATAGCAAGTTACCTAGTGAATTTTAGTTGGAACTACTGCCTATTATTCTAATATTTATACTAACAAAGTTTACATAATTTTGCCAGAGAAAAAGATGTAAGAAAAGAACAAAATATTTTGTTAATCCAATAATAGTTGATTAGGTGTAGTTCAACCATATAGCTTATGGGAAAAGATAAAAAGTACAAAGAAAGAAGATTAAGAAGAGGAGAATGGCCAGTTATTATAACCAGAATGAACTTCCACAAAAAAAAAAAAAAAAAAAAAAAAAACATACATGGTTGAATTTTTTAATATCTTAAGTTGATGAATTAATTGAAAAAAGAAACAGATATCTTGATGTAACCATTTCAACCAATTAGCCTCTCAAACACTACTTCCCATTTCCCCTTTAAATAGTCCTCCCAATCAGTCTCCACAAACACTTGAAATATTGAGTCAAAAGAGTAAAAACACACACACACACACACACACACATATTCTTCTAATTCTATTTGTGTGGAACAGGTTATATAATGGATATTTCAAGTCTTTTCAGGACTTTTTGGTTTCTGCTGGCTTTGAAGTTTTTGGTTATGGTCAATGGGCAGCCTTTGGTTCCAGCACTCTTCATATTTGGAGATTCAGTTGTTGATGCAGGAAATAACAACTACCTTAAAACAATTGTGAAAGCAAATTTCCCTCCTTATGGAAGAGATTTCCCTAAACACATACCAACTGGGAGATTTTGCAACGGAAAGCTCGCCTCAGATTTCACCGGTACGTATTTCTCCTGAATTTAAGTTATAGACATTAACAGTGTAATTTAACAAGTTAAAGCAGCTTAGATACCATATTACAAGGTTAATACTAGTAATATTTATCGTACATATATCATATATGTACCTTATAGCAAGTGGTTTGATTGTGTAATATCTACACGTTAATTTTTCTTTTTAGCATCATTAGTAGTTAAAGTCACATGTAATGCGACAATCATAAAGTTGCTGTACATTAACATTTACACTGCCCCAAATCGCCTAAAATTTTGCGGGCGCATCAGAAACGATCTAATGAACAATAGTCATCGTTTCGTTCCTCGTTTTTTGGCGCTTTATCAGCACGATTTCCGATTGTTGTATGCTAATGTCCACTCCATATTCATGAATTCGGCCGACCGACTCGAATTCATGAAGATGGCGTGGACATTAGCACACGAAAAATCATAAATCATGCTGGATTCCTGTTTTATGGGCGTAACAACTTATATGGATGACAGGAATATAAACTAATGTTTATGCTTATGTGCAACAATGCAGCTGAGAATCTTGGTTTTACTTCATATCCACCAGCTTATCTTAGCAAGAAAGCCAAAGGAAAAAACCTTTTGATTGGAGCCAATTTTGCCTCAGGTTCATCTGGTTACTATGATACTACTTCTAGACTATATGTAAGTAGTAGTATTTATTAAATTTTCTACAAATTCTGTGTCCAATATCTTATGCAATTGACAGCTTGTTTTTCTTTTCAGGATGCAATTCCTTTGAGCAAACAGCTTGAATATTATAAAGAATACCAGAAAAAGCTGGTGGTAATTGCAGGGAAAGTAAATGCAACATCAATAATCAATGGTTCGATTCACTTAGTCAGTGCAGGAAGTAGTGATTTTGTTCAAAATTACTACATTAATCCTCTTCTCTACAAAGTTTACACTCCTGATCAGTTCTCAGACATCCTCATCAAATCCTACACTAAATTCATATTGGTACATCTTTTTTCTTGTACACCTTTTAGGCCTAATATGCTTGTGATCAAGCATATTGGTACATCATTTTGTCACTTACCTGGATGGGGTCAATGAGCGATCAAGAAGGCCCATGGCCTAGGTTGGTGACACTTTGGAGGGGCGCCTGCCTAAGGTCGGCCCAAATGGTCGAACCTACGTCATAATTTATGCGGCTAAAAAAAAAGTCATTGTTTCATTTCCTTACAAGCAACTTTTTTTGTACTAATTATGTTTTTTATTTGAATACTGAAATGAGTTTAACTTCTATACACTGATACTGCAAAAGAATTTTTTAACATGTAATATAAGATTAGTTACTTGCTACAATTTGATGTCTTGTGATTGATAGGAATTGTATGGATTGGGAGCAAGGAAGATTGGAGTGACAACAGTACCACCAATTGGGTGTTTACCAGCATCCATTACAATATTTGGAAAAGACAACAACCGTTGTGTCAAGAAGATGAACAAAGTAGCAGTTTCATTCAACAACAAGCTCAATTCCACATCTATTAAGTTGCAAAAGAAGCTTTTTGGTCTCAATCTTGTCATCTTGGATATCTACCAACCTTTCCTTGACCTTGTCACTCACCCAGCTGATAACGGTAATACTTCGGAAAAAAAAAAAAAAAGAAACCCCTTCACCCCAACCTTGAATCTGGTTCTGTTATTACTTGTTATTTCCTCACACGTCAAAAAATTGAGACATATACAATAATTTACCATGTATAACACATATCGTGCTCTACAAATTGTTTCGATTAGTTTATTTGAGTGTTGTACACCACGAACGGAACTACATCTCCTTCGTCAGTAAATTATACTGGACAACTAAGTAACTTTTTTTCTTCCGTATATAAAACTTGTTGAATCCTCTGGACATAAGAAAGACTCTAATGTAGAAGCAAATGTGGCTCAAAAATTGCTTTAGGTCGCTTTATTAAATGTTTAAACCCCAGGTATAATATTCATGCATTTTCTTAAATCCCCTTATTAAAATTACTGACTTCATTGCTGTCCTACATGATCAGTGGCGGATGTAGCATTATAGCTACGAGTTTAATTAAACCTATAACTTCGAGGTGGGGCATAAATTTACGTGAAAAAATTCATTAAAATTGTAAGAAATAGTATATATGAACCCATAACTTTAAAAATATAACAAGTACAATTCTAAGAACCTTAAATGTTGAACTCATAGAATTTAAATTCTGGATCCGCGTCTGTTCATGATATAATAAGTTGTTCAAATGTTTCCTTTCGTAGGATTTTTTGAAGCAAGAAAGGCATGTTGTGGAACGGGATTGTTAGAGACATCCATATTGTGCAATGCAAAGTCTCAAGGAACATGTGCAAACGCATCTGAGTATGTGTTTTGGGATGGTTTTCATCCAACTGAAGCTGCCAATAAAGTCTTAGCTGATGACTTGCTAATCAGTGGCATATCCCTCATCTCCTAATCTTTCTTTTTTCATCCTCTCATAGTATATCGTTATTTCTTTCGCGGAGTTTGCTTTAAACATTTAGTATTGTTTTTTGGACTCACTTAATGTTGTAATAAATTAAATATTGTTTTCCGTTCCCCTTTCTTGTTTTTGTTTTTTGTTACAGAGTTTAAACTTGTAAAAGTCTTTATATTGATGCAATTTTACAAATACTACTATTTGAGGGAAAATACAATTACGTGAGTTCAATTGTTTTGGCAAAATCCCACATATGGAATGCTGCAAATAAAACAAAAATGGCTCCCATAGATTCATAATAGGCATATATAAATTATTGTAGGTTATTAACTCACCATTTGGTGATTTAGTTCGTCCTTCCGAGCATTTTTTAGATGAAATTTGTATTGCCGGAAAGGTTCACCCTGTCCCGAGGAGAGCTTTGAGTAGTTTACAGGACAAATTAAGTTGCAATTTATTGGAAAAATATTGGATTATGGAGAATGAGATTTAGCTTGAGGCATGTGAAGCATACTGTCCTTAATATTTCGCCCATACCGTGCTGAATAAAATTAGGCGTATCCCAGGATTCAACAAGCTCTTCTAGTATAACTAGGATTAGAAACAACAAAGATTAATCACAAGAAAACACAGCACAATAAAACAAATTGAGAAGAAAAGTTTTTACTTGTTTCACTCTTTCACACACCTTTCTTAAAATGAACACAATATATATTATATATATATATATATATATATATATATAGCTTCTCTTTCATGGAAAAATTCAGAAGCTTGAATGGGTCCAATATTAACTCCATTTTCTAATTAAGCTAAACAATCAACATTTTTGTGAAAAAAGAATCACATTTTCTAATTAAAAACTCCACCTTAACTCCACTGCCGACACCGCTTCACCACCACCATTGCTTTTTCTATTTCATACAATTACCTCCATTGTTGCATCAGTATTACCTACATCTTCTCCAGCAATCAAGCCGTCTGAGCAAACCCTGTAACCCATTAAGATCATTTCACTATCAAGACGTATTTTTACTGTGCTTTCACCTTAAACCATCGTCTTTTCCGGTCATCATACACCACCAAATACACTGCATCTTCACCACCATCTCTTGGGACCATTATCGACAATTACCAGACAGTCAATTCAAGACCACCGTCCCTTAATGGCACCTTCACACTACCAGGTCATCTTCAAAATTGTTGCAGTGCTCTCTACCGACGATATCGCCGGCCACATCTGATGTGGGTGTTAGACAGAGAAAGGAGATGATGGATAAAGAAGAAAGGAAAAAAAAAAAGTATTATCATATTTAAGTAGTCACGTGCTTAAAGTTTGGGTCAAAGTCACTTCTTTTGCCACATCAGTTGTGGGGTTCAATAGGCACACTTCTATTAGGATTGAAGTATCCAATAGCTACAAGTCTTAGTTAGAGTGTCTAAATAAAATTTGAAGCCAATTTTAAGGGGCGGTCTATGTA